GGCGGAGGCCAGGCTTCGGAACCCTGGCCAATCAGAGCCAGGATCTGGGCCCAGCCCTCCCGTCTTAGAAGGCCTACAGTGTAGAGGGGCGGCGTGACTGGTCCAAGGTAGGTGAGCAGAAAGCTCAGGTCCCAGAAGGCCCGTAAGCCATTCCATCCACATTCCATGGGCATACGCGTGGCATACGGACCTGGCCGTGAATCCTAGTTCCGGCACTCATTTAGGGTCTTGATTCCATGGTTGTTGAAAGAATTTGCAAAATAAACACTTATATATATAACATTTAATCTGTTATCAATATTGACTCGATCTGAACAACTGAGATAATTATTCCCATTTCACAGAGAAAAATACTGTGGTACAGAGAGGTTAAGTAATTTGCTCAAGGTCACACAGCTCAAAGTAACAGTCAGGATTCAAATCCACGCTGTGAAAGCACTAACAGCCCCAGAATAGTGCTCCGCACGTATTTTTTCCTGCCTGTAGGTGTGCTGGGGCCCCGAGAGAGCGCACTGGGGCTCCAAGAGGAGTACAAGAGATGCAGGAAGCCTGGAGTCTGACCAGTCATCTGAAGGTCCCAGGCAGGGGAAGAACAGGAGAGCAAGGCCCACACCGCCCCCTCCTGCCCCCACCCCTCTAGGCAACACTAAGTGGCCAGTGGACCGTAAATCCTTTATTTCCAAACTATAAATAGACCTGTACTGAGAAAAGACGGGCTCCAGGTGATGAGGCTCCAGGCTCTCCATCAACCCTTCCCAACCGCTCCGCAGTCTAAACCCGGCCCCCTTAGAAACCTGCTCTCCCCCGGAAATCACCACCTGGGCTGTCAGAGCCTGGCAAGCAGCTGAGACCAGCCCGCTCCCTTGTCCCGCTGTGACTCCAGCGCGGCTTAGGCCCTGCTCTGGTCTGATGCTCACCCCTCTGTTCGACCAGTTCCCTGACCAAGCCCTGCCATGTGGTCCCGTGCTCCCCGAGGCCCAGCCCGGGAGAGTCCTGGCCCACTGCTCCCCGGCTGTTGTGAAGAGCCACCCGGGTCCCCAGGCTGCTGTGAGGTGTGAGGCTTGGGAGCAGCCTGGTTCCCAGCAGGTCTCCTGGCTGGTCACTGCTGCCCCTGGGCCCCAAAGTAGTCCTCCTCCTCATTGTTCTCTTCCTCCGGCCGGCCGCTCCGAAGCAGCAGCTCCAGGTCAGGGTGGGAGCCCAGGCCCTTCAAGGGTTTGGGGCCACCATCACCTGGGGAGAGAGAAAAACCGGCTGTAGACCTGATCATGGCTTTCTTGGTGCCCCCCGATGCGCGTGTTGAGTCACCCAGGTGTCCCCCTACTCCCCCCACTCCCTGGAGACAACCATCTTCTGAGTGGTGGTGGCAGAACCACGAGGCTGACTTCCTGGCCGAGGGGCAGCCTAGGCGGAGGCAGCTGAACTGCGTAGACAGCCACCCAGCGGCAACTGCTCTGGGCAAGCCGAGAGCCACCTGCCTTTCTTGGCTGGGTGGCTGGGGCCCCAGGACTGGGTGGAGGGGAGGTCAGAGGGGCTGAGTCACACGGGGAGCAGGGAGCATCATCAGAAAAGAGGCTTCTGAAAGGGGCTCGGGTTACCTCTGGAGTGCAGGGCTTTGAGAGCAACATGCAGGGATATGCCCGAGAGGCAGAGGGCGAAGCCCAGCCAGTTCAGGAGGCTGATCTGATCCCCCAGCAGATGAGCTGCCAACAGCAGAGTGCAGACTTCCTGAGGGCGGAGAGGCAGGAAGGGGAAGCGATCAGTTGGGAGTGGGCTCCTTCGCAAGGAGGGTGGACGGCAGGGGCACCGGGCACAACGGCAGGGGAGAGCCTGACCCGCCGGAGCTCCTGGGGCCAGGGCAGGCTGGCCAGCGGGGCAAAAACAGAGCTTCCCTGAGCTCGGAGGACCAGGCCTGCCTGCGATGCTTTCCTCCCTTCGTGCTACCAAGACACAGCAAGGGAGGTGCTCTGCACAGTGTCCTGTCAGTGTTAAGAGAGGCAAAGCAGACCCAGGGCTGGGAGCACAGAGTGTCCAGCCCACAGCCATGTCCACAGGAGTGAAGAGTGAAGGAGAGTTGTGCTTCCAGAAGGCACCCACACATGGAGAGCGCAACGCTGCCACAGGGGAATGCAGCATCACCCCGGGCTCCACCGGACACACACTGGCCACGGGGTTCTGCAGACACGGTGGCTGCCGATGGGACTGGTGGGATGACTCACTCTGAGAACCACAGCTCACGCCTCTTCCTAAGCCCCTTGGGGAGACATGATTCTGGGTTTAGGCAACACTGCTCCGGCATTAGCGTCTGTCTCGTCAAGGAGAAACTGCACCCCGCCCCCATGGGCCCGAGCAGGGTGGGGTGAGGGGTGGCAGGGGAGGGGGGAGCCTGGGAGTAGAGGCACGTGTGATGCCAGGCAGCAGTAAAGGCAAACCAGGCAAACACCGGGCACGCATGCTAGCGCTGTCCCTTGCTGTAACCACGGCAGACATCGCCAATCAATCACGGAACCCTTTCCCCACGAGCCTGGTCGGGGCTTCTCAACCCTTGGCTCCAGGCCACTACCAAACGACCAGAGTGGGCATTCATGGTAACAAGAGAATGCATGCCAGGCCCAGTGGAGTCAGAATCCCAGCTCGGCCACCTGCTGGCTGTGTGTCCTGGTGGAGGAGCCACCCATCTGTGAACCAGGGAGGACCGCCTCCACCGCCCGGGGCTGCAGCCCCGATGACAGGGAGTCTCAGACAAGAGCACGGCACACAGCACCCTAACCAGGCACTTCTGTCTCTTCTCTGGGGTCTGGGGCATGGGAGCTGGGACAGAAGCTGCTACTGGGCTTGGGGGCCGCGCTGTAAGACAGGACTGGAACCACCCCCAAGTCTGTACCTTAAAAATGCCAGCAATGGAGAGAGTGAGGCTGGAGGTTCTGGAGACCAGGAGGAACTCAGAGAAGCCCAGACCGAAGGCGAGGATCCCTCCAAGGAAGAGGCTCCCTAGTACCCCCAGGAGCAGCCCGGTGTCCTGGAAACGGAAGATCTTCTCAGACGTGGACAAATGGAGACCTGAAAGCAGAGGGAGAGAGTGGGAGGCCACGTGCTGGTGTCCCCAGGGAGCAGGAGACCCAGCATGGGGCAGTCACGGCCCCCGCACACCTGTGCACTCACTGTGGCCCCGAGGAGGGGGATGGCAGGTGGAAGAGAACGCTGTGCGGACGGCCTGACACCTGGGGACCTGGGGAAGCAGCGAGGGCCCCCCCGAGAGCCTGCGGGCTAGGGTGGAGGGCCTGGCACCGCACAGAAAATCGGACAGAAGCCTCTGTCCTCCCACGGTACCGACCTGTCTTTGGGAAGGAGCGTGACTTCACGTGGCCTCTGCAGCTGTGGTAAGTAGTGGGCCAAAGAGAGGTGGGGCAGCCCATTGGGTGATGAGTGATGAGTATCAGCGCCCCGGACTCCAGGGCGAGCCCTCGCTCTCAATGTCAGGGGGGCCACCTATCAACAGGGCCTCATTTTATCCTCCCAAACCTTCTCCACTTTAAGCCGGCTCTTGCCATCACACAGCTGTGGGACGAGGCTGAGACGTGCCCCCTCTCGGGACCCGCTCCCCCAGTGAGAGCATTTCGACTAGACCTGCATTCCTCAGACAGACAGTATAACGTGGGGAACAATTCCCAAAAAGCAAACGCCCACACACAAATATAGGACAAAGCCTTGTTCTCGAGACACCCCTACGGGCACCCACACACCGAGTCTGGCATGACTTCTAGAGGATTCCTGGCGCTCCCACACCGTCCCTCAGAGTGACTCCGTGGCTGTGTGCAGGAAAGGCCCCGCGCGAAGCACAGCGGTGACACCTGTGGGACCTGGAGGCGGGCCGGGCTCGCTGAGGTTTTGGAGGGAAGCACCAGAGAAATGCAGAGTGACAGGCCCTCCCGGACAAACAGCCTCCCGATGTAAGACATCTTGTCTGGTGCTGGGCTCAGCCGTACTGCAAAGGCGTCAGCAAATTGAAGGGAATTCGGGAAAGAGCAACATAAGTAATGAAGGCGCTTGGGGGATTAATTTACCAGAAAAGATTAAAGGAGCTAAATCCATGCAGCTTTACTAAGTGACGACGACCAGGGCTTTTGGCTGAGGGTGTGCAGGGATGGGGAAGGGTGTCCGTGGCCAGGACGGGAGGGGGCAGAAGGCGAGGGTTGGTGGGGGGAGACGTTAACTGGAAGAAAAAGGGGGGCTGCAGAATCATTTTCTCAGGGAGGTTCGAGACGCTTCACGGCTTGAAACTTAAATGGATGTGGGACAGAATTCTCTGTAATGACGCCGAGGACAGAAGGAAGGGACTCAGGGAAGAAGGATAAACAGGGACAGAGACTAATCTCGAAACCCGGGAGGGAGGAAGGAAGGAAGGAGGCGTGCACTTGCAGCCTGGACAGTACTCCCTGCCTTTCCTCTTCTCTGGGAGGTGATGGTGGGTGGGGGGGGTCCCCCCTACCCAGCCACTGCGCCACGGCCAGGGCCACACAGACCATCCCACACACTTCCACCCTCGGAACCTACTGATGCTTTCCTGCTATGCCCTGTGCCCGTTAGCCCAGCAAAGCCTCCCCCAGCCTCCAAAATACATGGCCTGGGAAGTCTTTTTGACTTGGCTTTCCACCCTAGCATCCTGAAAGAATTCCTGGCCCTCTGCTCCTTCTAAGAGACAGAACACATCACGGTTAAGAGGAAGGACTCAGGAACCAGCTGCTGGAACCAAACTCTGGCTCGTTGGGCCAGGTTATCTTTACTTCTCTCCACTTGTTTCTTTGACCTGCAGGATGGAAATAATGCTGGTACTGCCACATGGGGTTTGGGGGAGTATAAGAATTAGTATGTTTAAAATGATCAGAACAGGGGTACCTGGGGGGCTCAGTCGGTTAAGCGTCTGCCTTCAGTTCAGGTCATGACTTTGGAGACCCGGGATCGAGCCCTGCGTCGGGCTCCCTGTTCAGCAGGGAGCCTGCTTCTCCCTCTCCCTCTGCTCTTCCCCCCGCTCATGTTCTCTAATAAATCAATCAATCAATCTTAAAAAAAAAAAGGTCAGAAGAACCCTGGCATAGCTCCCAGGCCGTACACATCCACTGTCATGATCGGCTGTTGTCTTTTACATACACTTTCTGCGTAAGCATTTATCAGGCTGGATGCCAGCCACCTGCTTTAACGTCTGTCCAGCCCTTAGACCAGGCTCTGCCAATGGATAGACCGCATCTTTGATCTCTATAACCTCTGCAGCTACCACGGAGGTGGGCTCCGAGCAAGGAAGGGGGATCTGTTGTAGTGAGGTGCCCCCAAGATGGACGACCCAACGTACCTTCAAAGATGGCGAAGAGAGGGAAGAGCCCCAGAAACATGAGTGGCTGCAGGTGGAACATGGTGTCGATGGGGTTCTGGAGCCCTGCAGAATGAGGGCGGGGGGTGAGTCATCAGGCCCAGCCTGCCTCCACCCTGCCTGGTGCCCGGGGCCCTCTCTCACCAAGTTCCGCCTTCTGCAGGAGCATCTGGGTGAGGGTCCAGCGAATGCCACCGATGAATGAGGCCCCCAGCACCAAGGCAAAGCCCTCCACGTTGAATTGCGTGGACTTGTACGTGAACATGAAGAGGCCCCCGGCGATGAGGAGGACCACCAGGACCAGTGCCGCACGCTATCAGGGTGGTGAGCAGGGGCCACTGACTGCAGGGTCCTGAGTTGCTCAACCCTGGAGTTTGGGCTCAGGAGCTGTGTTGGCTGACTCTGGGGCAAGAAACCCTTCTTCCCTGTGACCTTGGGGGTCCCGGCCAGCTCCTTCCCATCAACGTAGGCAGGGCTGACATTCAGTGGACATGTACCCAGCATCCCTCCTTGATCTAACCTTCTGATGTGCTTTCCTACAGCTGTTCTAGGCCCCCGGGAGGTCCCCTAGTACCCTGGACCTCGCAAATAAAGGGCGACTGCCTCCGGGACCTGGCTGCATCTGGCCCCTATCCTTGAACCCTTTCTCTTTCTGTCACTCTTTTGGTCATTACACCTGCCACGCCGGTTGCTAAGTATTCTCAGCAGTGGCCTGTCCTAGGTCCTTCCTCAGCGACAGGAGTTACCGCCACCTGGGCTGGGCTCGTCTCCTCTGTCACACACAGTGACAAGCCACTGCTCAGACACCCTTTTTAGTCTTAGCATCTGCAGGGATAGGAGCGACCAGGGGAGCTGGGGCCTCACCAGCTCCTCCAGCTTGAAGATCAGGGAGAAGATCAAGATGAAGAGGACAGCGGAAGACTTGGTCATTGTGTACCTGCAAGGACAAATTAGCCACGATGCAGTGCCGGGGCCCAGGGCTCAGACCCACCACCGGGAGAGGAGCCCACTGACTGTGCTGGAAAGGGTGGGAGGCTGTGGGGACCTGACTTCCCTGAGGGCAACCGGCTCTGCTCAGGGCAGCTGGGCAATCAGGGTACAAAAGACCAAAGGAAGGCAGCCTGAGTCATCTGGGCTGGTATGTGACCTTTAATTGGAAGAAACCTCCGACGAAGGGGCCTCTGACTATCGCCAGAGAGAAGAGGCTGCAGGTGAACCCTGGGCTCAGTGAGTCCTCTTACTTATCTGCTCCTCCGTGGAGACCAGGATCAGGAAGGAAGGAGGGAAGGGGGAAAAGAGAAGGCAGGGATTGTGTACCCTGAAGTACAAGGCCAGAGATGAGAAACAGCTGTTACACCTGCCTCTCTGTGCAGGTCAGTGCCCTTCCTCCCCGGCATGACTGGTGCCATTCTGCCCAGCGCCTGGCTCCCCCAGGCCCCCAGGGAAGGCAGGCACAGCATCCCTCAGAGCCCGTCAACTTCCCAGAGCGCTGCTGGCTGTCAGGGCGGAGCTGAGAGCAGGCGCCACTCCCAGAGAGTGGTGGCGTGGCCGGCCCCCAGGCCCGGGGGGCGCCTGGACAGGGTCAGACAGAGCCTGAGCCTGAGCCTGGCGGGAGGCGGGGGGCTGGTACTCACAGCGAGACGGTGATGTAGAGGAAGCTCCAGTTGGACAAGCCCACGTCAAGCGCCGTCGCCAGGGCTGTGGAGACAGGGGCGCCCACCGGACACACGGCCAGGGCGGGCCGGCATGGGCGGGCCAGGTGTTCAAACACTTCCATGAGGCCCCCGAGCGCCCCCTGCTTTGCCCTGGACACCCGGCTTTCTCTCGGGCCCTTGGGCCTTCCTTTCACTCACAGCAACTGAAGGGCTAACTCCTGGCCCACAAAGGGAGGGGGTGCAGCTCCACCATTAGGGGCTCAGGCCGTTCTGATCGGTAAGTGCTGGGAATGCCCCCCAGGAAGAGGATTAATGTGTCTGGTCCCAGCATCCCTCATGAGCAACTCTTCAGAGCGGCTTCTCCTCCCTCAGGATGGAAGGCGCACCCCTCGTGGAGGACCTGGTCCCCCTCCAGGATCTGTCCCTGCCACCCTCTCCGCCCACGTTTCCTCACCAGCGCGGAGCTCCCAGCGCCCCGAGATGCTTTCCGTCCCGCTGCAGACCTGCACAGGCACGAAACGCTCGGCCATTGCAGCCCACGCTCTGGGAGGCCCTCCCCGCTGGGCCCGGGCTGGCTCCCTGCTCTGTGCCCCGAGGTGCCCCCCACTGTCCCGCCGCGGCAAGGTGAGAGCAGGCGCGGGCTCGGCGCGCCGGTCAAGGCCGGTGCTGCATGGGGGGCTCTTCCCGGTGCGTGTGAGCGTGCGTGCGTGTTGTGTGTATGTGGGGGGGGGGCAGGGAGGACACAAGAGGCAGCAGTAGGGCTGGGGGGAGGCAGGCAGAGAGGAGTGAGGGGGGGCGGGGTGGAGAGGGCCTCTGCTCCAAGCCACCAAGGCTCCTTGTTCTTAGCCCACAGCTTCCACGCGACCCCCCTCCAGGCCTCCCCCGCCCACGGCCGCCCCACGGCCACGTACCTGTGGGAGCTACTCTCCTGAGGTAGTCCGTCCAGCTCAGCACCACACGGGCCCTGTGGCTGGAGCACTGAACAAGGGCCCTGGACAGGGCAGAGAACAGGAAGATCACGGCCAGGTGCAGCATCGTCATGAAGAGCGGGAAGTGGAAGCTCTACGGGACCCAGAGCAGAGACAACCGGGCGGGTTCTCAGCCCCCCATGACCCCCCACTGCAGGCAGCGGCGCTAACTGGGTGCTTCCTCAGGGCTCTACAGCGGCCAGGGGGCTTCCCCCGCCCCCGACATTGCAGTCACTTGGGGTGAGAGCCCCATAGTTCCAGTTGTGGAGACCAGGCCGAGAGCAGGTGGCAGACCAGGGCTCAGTCGGACCACGGTGCTGTCCCCACGGCTTCCACAGGCCTGTCAGCCTCCTGCTCCAGCCCCCCGCCCCCCAGGTCACAGCTGGCGCTGGCCAGTGTGGCCCAACCGGTCACGAAAATACTGAAGTCCTTCTCTGCCGGTTGGTAAACAGCTGCTGCCTTAATCCCAAGTTACCCCAGCTCATCCTCGCTGTCTCCCCGCCTTCCCGATTTCCCCTCGATCCACACGTTTGAGGGGAACCCCTGGCGCAGCAGGGCTCTAGGGCCCTGTCCCATCACTGGTGTGACTGGCTTCCAGTCTGATTAGTTGAAGCCGGTGCCACCCGCTGCTAAAGATTCGGGGACGCGGGGGCCATGGCGCAGCCCCCTCCTCACCAGCGCCCCGCACTGCAAGGCCTGCCATTACCTTCGTCAGCCATTTGTTGTAGAAGGTGATGCCGATGGAGAAGCAGTAGTAGAGAAGGACCAGCCCCAGAGTCAACACCGCCTTCCACACATAGGCCACGTCGAGGGCCCACCTCCCCATCCGGGGAAGCTCCAACTCCCTCGCTCTGGGTCAGTGGGGGCAGGCACCCCTCCCGAAAACAGCCGCAGGGAGAGCCGGCCGAGCTGGGCCACGACTTTCAACAAGGTCTCCTGGCTGGAGGAGTCCTCTTCGCCTCCATGATTCGGAACCATCCACGGAGCCCCAGGCAGAGGCCTCACCCGAGGGGCTGGTGGCCCGAGCCAACCCTCTCCATGATTAAGTGGACACAGGCCTCACAGGTCTCCAGGTCCGAGGCTAGAGGAATGGAAAGGAAGCTTGGGCGGCCCGGCAGAGCGAGGGCTGCCCGACTTGGTCCGCCCCACCCCTGCCCGCAGGGAGCAGACCAAAGCGGACCCGGGGGTGGGGGGAGGCAGGAAGGGGCGCAGGCCCAGCCATGGGCTCACAGAGCTCCAGCCACATCCACTCTGTCGCCTCAAGCTGTTCTCTATGAATTGCCGCCAAAGTGACCCTTTAAAATCGTAAATCTGATCATGTCAGATCAGATGTCAGCCCTTCAGTGGCTCCCAGCGCTCTTATGATAAAGACCAAGAGCCTTCCTGACCTGTCCCTGCTGGCCTCTCCAGCCTCAGCTCTGGGCTCTCTGTCCCCACCCCACCACTGCCTCAGTTCCCCAAACACACAGGCTCTCTCCTACTGCCTGAAGGAACGGACACGCTGCCTACCCTCCAGTCCTCTCTCAGCTGATGTTACTCAACTTCAGCTCAACCGCTGCTTCCTCAGGGACAACCCCTCCTTGATTGGGTGCTCCCCCAGCTCCCCTACTTTCCCTTCAGTGCACCTGTGTAGGGCATGCCCATCTGAGTGGTGTCTGTCCCCTGGGAGGCTGTGCGCTCCTGTCTTCCTGGACTACCTCATGGTAGTCTTGCGCCCACTGGGCACACTGTGAGTTGTCCGTATGGTTCGATGACTCAGTGCAAGAGTGGGCACTTGGTTTTCAGGGCACTGATCTGATCTTTAAGGCATTAAAAATGGACCAGGAAACCAGGAAACCAACCTACCCTGCCCTTAGCCTCTAAGGGACCACTCCCATAGAGGCTGTGCCTGCTTTAGGGTCTTGCCTAACTAAACCACTCCCAGCCTATCAATCTAGGCAACCCTAATGAGGGTCCAGAGCACACGAGCTTTGAGGAGACCAGGCTGACCTAGGTCCACAGCTATCCCACCTGCTGCTTCATGTGTGTGTCCCTTCAGTCACCATCTCCTCCTCTGAGACATTCCCAACCTGCTGAAATGCCACCTCCTGGAAGCCTTCCTAGGACCATCTGATCCAACATACCCTGCTTTCCCCACCTCCAGTCCTTTCTGAAGGGAGTCATCTCATTCACCTCTGTATGCTGGAAGCTGGGTATCACCGCCCTCCCCCGAGGCAAACTGGGAGCTAGCATAAGGCTTTGCTGGAAGGATATGGTAGGGCTGAGGTCCTCGTGAGGGGAACTTCGGAAACCTGTGGGGGTGTTTTGGGGGAACTCTCCTAGCTTTTAGTGATATGGTGGCGGGGGGGGGGTCCCTGAGAGCGACGGTCCACATAACTAAGAACTGCTCTGCATCCTTTGTAACCTTGACAATCCATGTAGGTATAAGACTTATAATTACCTGAACCTCAAACACAACTGTGTTTTGCTTTTTTGTTTTTAAGTAAATTCTAGGGCGCCTGGGTGGCTCAGTTGGTTAGGCTGCTGCCTTTGGCTCAGGTCATGATCCCAGGGTCCTGGGATCAAGCCCCGCATTGGGCTCTCTGCTCAGCGGGGAGCCTGCTTCTCCTTCCCCCTCTGCCTGCCGCTCCCCCTGCTTGTGCGCTCTCTGTGTCAAATATATAAATAAAATCTTTAGGAAAAAAAAATGTTTAAAAAAATAAATAGATAGGGGCACCTGGGTGGCTCAGTTGGTTAAGCAACTGCCTTCGGCTCAGGTCATGATCCCGGAGTCCCGGGATCGAGTCCCACATCAGGCTCCCTGCTCAGCAGGGAGTCTGCTTCTCCCTCTGACGCTCCTCCCTCTCATGCTCTCTGTCTCTCATTCTCTCTCTCGCAAATAAATAA